CAGGTAAACTCTTCCGGTGATGTAACCCTGGTTCTCCACAACTTCCACACTTGCCCCGGACTGGAACAAAACCACGACGTGCGACTGGTTCAGGATGTTGCTGGGCGTATAAACCGTAACTCCTGCAACAAAACCAAATATTTGATTTTTTCATCCAGTTGCGAAAGGCACGAAATATTCCGAATTTGCCTGTGAATTCCTGGATCTTTTGTGGGTATCGGTCGAAGAAATAGAACCTCCCGTCGACGATGACGTCCAAGTGATACCGCCAACGAGCCTCTTTTGGACGCAGACGAATCTCCACTGTCGACGACGTGTTGTCCTTGGCTGTGGACATATTGATCAATGAAAATAATGATACTTCTTCCGTTTATTTTTTTTATTGACATAAAAGAGCCGGATGGGCATTTCGAGACAAATTCAAATTCATTTTTGAACCTCAAAAGACTCCGATGAGGTAAAGTGACTTGATGCCTGAATTAACTTTGCAGGTATTTATAACTTGAAATTCCAGATTGCTGAACCAAACTGATGATTTTAAAATTATCCAATAAAGGGCGAAGATGAAAATTCTCTGAAGAAATATATGTCAAACAGCTGGGGCTGACTTTTTTCTTGTGGCAAGAAATGCATGTTCTATCAGTTCAAAATCATATGACGTTTCAATTTCCATCAGGAAACTTGTGAAACTACCCCTCGTACTTTCAAAAATGTCAACAATAAGGCCATCAGTTACTGTGCTATATAGTATATACTCACTGCATATAAGCATTGAATAATTTAATTTGAGACTGTCACTACATTAGGTTTCCAATAATAAGTCTTACCAGCAAGTGAAGTGAGCATCGTGGCCAAACTGTTGAACTAGTTTAACCCAAGTTAGCGAAGCTTAGACGGGACTTGTAGATCGAACACGAACCCGCACAGGCGCGCCTGTTCGTGCTTAAGAGGAGCAGGCAACTTGCACATGAGCCAGGGCACAAACGTATGGATATGAGGATCTCCATACACAGCAGCTGAAATTAGAGAAATGCACAGTGTGGTTGTCTCGGTTTATTGCATACAGTACTTGGCCATTTTTCCACTGGGAAAAATTCCATTACTCTTAATGTTGAATTATGATTATGGCTGAGTGATGTAAAAGTTACAAAATGTGACTGATGAGTTCTAGAACCTCAAAATATGCCTCGACAGAAAAAAAAATCTAAAAATGTCCATTAAAAACTGCTGTGCATAAAAATCAAATAGGTATTAAACTCAAAATATGCGATTCATTTTAAAATAAATGCAAATTTCATACAGAATTCATATTTTAGATTTAATAAAGGGATAGAAATGCAGTTTTATAATTGCATTCAATTTTGTATGAGCTCATATGCAAGCATAAATCCAAATTAAAACATAAATGAAATTTTAAAAATAATCTAATTATAAATTTAAATTCAACATGAAATAAAAATGCAATTTTAGGCAGAAATTCAATTGGAAAATCGATTCAATTTAATTTGGAATTCAATTTTAAATAAAAGTTTAATATAAATTTACAAATGCCATTTTAAATGGAAAATAAATTTAAATGAAAATGCAATACGGTATAAGTTATAAATTCAATTTGAGTAGGAATTCAATTCAAATAAAAATACAATATAAAATATAAATTTAATTTGACGTATATTTCAACCCAAGTTTAAAAGAGGAACATTTTCAGAGAAAAAAAAATAATAATAAACTGTACGCTTGTTCCAAAAAGAGTGGACGAGGTCCCCCAACCTTGGGCTGTGTCAGGACCCTTACGGAAGAGAGCTTGGACATTCAGAGTGTGGGCAGTGAGACGAGTAGAACGGTGTACGTTGTGTACATGAAGGGCGACACGTCGAGTGCCCAGTGGGACAGACTCGGAACCTTTGTCGGAAATGCAAAGAAATTGTAATTGAAAAAAAAATTAAAATTGATCCTAAAATATTGAATTCCTTTCTCCACCTTGTTCGCTTCTATGTAGGGCATCATTCCTTGGTTGTGAGCCCGTTGAGGGTTCCCACCCCATTTGTTGTCCGTCGTCATCATCAAGTATCCGTCTCGATCGTAGCAACATTGTTGTCCAGCTGCGTCTTTGCTGTGAAAATTGAAAAAAAACAAATCAAACTGTCTTCACAAAAAAAAAAAAAAACTCATAGCATAGGTTTCTTGCTGGGCCTATTACAGCACTTTTTAAACCTTTCGCATTTCGGCTGGTTTTCTGCTGAGTCCTAAGAGGGCTCAGACACACACAAAATGACAAACTGCAACGAACCCATTTTATGTCACATGTTCTTCTAGACTTTCAGGTCATGCGATTGCTCCTGATCAATTTCGAAGCTCAAGCAAAAAAAAAAATCCGGATTTTTCTGCCATCGCAAAGATATTCCCTGCTTTTTTTTAAATCTTGAGCTGCGTTTTGAGTAAATTAAAACGGGTTTGGCTGGTTTATTTTATTTTCCATCCAATCTGATATGATTCTGATGACATCAATTATCAGCCAGATACAAAAAAAGCATTATATAGCGAATAAAAATCCCCTGAAAATAAATTGCTTATTTTGAATTCAGGAGATTTCTCGGAATATGGTGACTTGAATTACGACATCTTTGCGGTCAATTCTGAATTCCGGCAATTTTTATTGCGTAAAAACCTGCTCCAGCCCAGCAGTTCTCTACTACAGTATTCTCTTCGTCACATTTTTCTTCGTCTGTTCTATTCCAGTATTTCGAAGTTGGCACGCATAAAAAAATTTTATTTATTTTTGGATTTTGTTTTGTCGTTGTTGTTGTTGTCTTTTGGGGTAGCATAGCATAGAGTGAACCGGTAGGGACAAGACTACGTTACAACCCGAGGAACCACCTTCATCGTGACGCACAATCCGTCCTTGTCGCAAGAAAAGTCAGGCACGTAGAAGGCCTTGGATGCGATGGCCTGTCTGATGAGACACGGGCACTTGGGCACCTCGTAGGCAAACAGCTTCATTTCCCTGTCGAAGTTTATCCAATCCTGGCACATGCTCTCTGCCCAGTTCTTGCCGTGCTTGCGTTTCCACTGCGGCCCGAAATACCAGGCCAGAGGGATGGGCCTGCTCCAGAGAACCCTGATGAGAGACACAAAACCAAGACGACACATATAGGTATTAAGATAAATAAAATAAAATCGAAATGTTTGCATTGTATACGCAGTCGAACCTCTCCCCAATAGGTCGCATTTCCAGGGACCAGCAAAAACATTTTTACTTCATGGGAGGTTTTGAGTTATATAGAGTCTTGAGTTACCAAACCAAGAATTTTTGTTTTGAGAAAAATAAGAGAATCACACAAAATTGTTAATGGGAATGTTTTTGGACCTTCTTAGCTCTTGTGGGACAAATTCAAGCTATTTTTGAAAAATATTGACCCCATGAGGGCTGCAAATTGCAAAATTTATATGATTTTTGAACCAACGCCTAAGTCAAGAAAAAGTCAATTTTTTTTATAATCTTGGAGAAAATTTTGGTTTAAAAAAAATTCCTCTTGGGGTTGCGTTTTTTCATGCATTCCCAGCATAAGATTAACATTCAGGATTTCTTGAGACAACAGGATTTTCTGCACCCAGATTTTTTCTGACTAAAACCTTGGGAACCTGGGGGTATTTCAGTGACCTTTGGTCAAATTTAAATGCCCATCCCCCCACCCCCCAAAAAGTCCTGATTTTGCTGCAGGATGGCCAGAAACCCTTGACCATCCAAGGGTTAAATATTTCTTACATGGGTTTAAAGGATGCTAAACTTGGAGGCAGTGGTTCATTTGCCCAATTATAGTCTTTTACTTGCTTTCAAAACACATATTATTCCCTTTCTTAATTGTTTTTTTCCTGTGTCAATGAAACAATAGCCAAAAGGCCTCCAGAAAATTAGAGTAATGGAGGTTTTTTGCATAAAGTATCTGAGCTGTGCAGGCTTTTCATTGCTTTGTTTCTAAGGAAATCCAGACAGAGACTTGAAAAACATTTTACATACGGAGATATTTGACTTGAGCAGGTTTGAGTTACTGTATTATAATTTAAATGCATATGTAATATTTATTGGGATATTTACGGAGTCTGGTCAAGTTCCATTGTTGCCACGGGATTTGTCAGATTGACTTGCAACAAGCCAACAGTGATGTCCAGCAATTGGGGCAAATTGCGTCGATTCAGGAAATCAGCCGGGAGAATCTCCAGTTCACCTCTGTTTGGCAAACTTTCCTGCATAATGGAGAAAATAATTTATTGAATTTTTAGGAGGTGTCAATAACAGCAAGTGTCCACACCATGTCAAAACTAATCTAACCTAGCTCAATATTGTTTATTTTTATTTTTATATTAAACCTGTGGAGGCTTCTGATGCATGTCTCAATGTCCAACTTACAAATCACAAATTTAAAAAATATAATTGGTCAAGTAAGTTTATATGTTCATTTTTATATGCTGGAAATTTGACTTTTCAGTTTGAATGAATGCCAAAAGTAGTAATGGTCAGCTAACTTACCAGTGACATAAAATAACAACATCAAAACACAAGTCAGCTGAAGATAAACTAAATTCCAAGACATATATGCAATGAAAAAGGTAATTATGGATTTGAGTACACCCTGTTTTTGAAGTGGAAGCAACCTGAATGGAATTAGATTGAGATACCTGTACATACATACACATTCTCATCATGGATAACTGTTATGCTGTACTACTTGCCTCAATCATGTCAATGAAGGTCAACTGTGGCTCAATTTGGTCTTCTTTGTAGCCCCACAATGAGATTTGCACTTGGGCTCCTTGACTGTAAGTCAAATTTTTCCAGTCCCACTTGAGATTGAGCCTCTCGGGCTCTTTTAGCTGGTAGTTCATGTCATCAAACCAAACTCCTTCAGGGGCTGTCATCGGCGTTTCTATGAGGAAAAAAAATAATAATCCAACCATTTATCAGCAATAATTTGAGAATTTTAAAATTCTTGCTGTAAAATACGCTTGTTTAAAACGAATTATTCATAAAGATCCCTGCTCAATAATCACAAGGTTATTCAAATTTTGGTACACTATAATTAAATGTATTTTAGAATTTTTGGTGAGTCTGGTAACCAATTTTTAAAGTTTAAGTTATCTAAACCAGTGTTTCCCAACTTGTTGCCTGTGGTTCAGCACTGGTCCATAGAAGTTTCTAAATTTTTCATTCTGAGAAACCTTTCTTCAAGCTCACCTTTTTAAATTTTTTAAAGAACTCCATTGTAGCTGCTTTGTTGGTTCTTGACTTAATTTTTGAAAAAAAGCAGAAACTTTTTAAATCCCTCCCATAAAGTCTTAAAAAAAATTTGAGTCTGCAAAAAATTTATGAAACTTTGACAGTCTGCAGAAAATTTTTTGAAAATTTTCCAGTTTGCAAAAAAGTTTATAGAAATTTGCTAGTCATCTGCAAGCCCAAAAAGGTTGGGGAATACTGATTCACACTAACCAAAATAAATTATTTTTGGTCAATCAATAAGGATAAAAAAATGAATTAATAATCACCAATGAAGAATTTTCCCTTCCAGTAAAACGGTCCTCCATCCTGAGAAATGAGGAAGTCGATGTATCCGGAAGTCTTCATCCCTGGTGGTGTGATGCAAGTGGCTCTATTGGCATCTCTGACGATTCCCTCCACTTCCCAATCCTCGAATCGACACGTCACTCTTTGCTTGGGCGTGAAGCAAGGGCCTGTCACGTTGACGACAGTGCCGCCGAGCATGTTGCCGGATTCGGGCGCGAAGAACAATGGCAGGTTCGTCCGCTCTGTGAAACATTCGTCATCGGCTCTATGTCAAAAATTCTGTCTAGATTGCTGGCATCATATTCAACGTCATTCTTGCTCTGACAGTTTTCACACAAAATACTGTCTAGAATGAACTCTTGGCTAATAAAAGTAGCCAATTCCCTCGTTAACAAATTTTCAAGCTAATACATTATTCGAACCTCAGCTTTGAGTCGAACGTCAAGCTGGGACCAGCAACACAAAATTGAATTAAGTTTGAAACAATAATTCAGAACAAAGCAATTTTTTAAATCCTTAAAACGCACAATTTATTTTTCAAATACTGTATTTCCGCATTCATTGAGAACATAGCATAATAAATTATTAAACGGCGACTTTACTGGCGACTCGTTTTCATTTTCGTCGCTGTGGGAGTAAAAATTAAATGTTATGTAAATATTGATGAATAATATATAGAAGGTCCTAATTATATACATGAGTGAGTTTAAAAGAATAAGGCATATTTCTCACGTGGATCAGGGTTGCAAGATCCGGGGAAAATGTGCTCATCAATGCGGAAAATGTGTCGGCCCAATTTCCCATTGGCACCTCCGTAACTCGGCAAATCTCGAATTTGCATTCTCTGCGAATACGGCAAGTACTCATAGGCTCGAGTTCCATTGCCAGCGTTGAAACCGACCTGAAACAAGAAGCAGATAAGGATTTATAGAATGAATTACTGAATGCTTATATGATGGTACATACTGTGTATAAATTTAAAAGTTCATTTATTTTTTCCGAATATCTGTGTTCCTTTTCCAATCTCTGAATATTTGAATACCCCGTGAAACTGCTAGTTTATTCATGTTCGTCACTGATGCTGAAGTTTTAAATTACTGTACTTGCCACTAGCTGGAAAACCATCATACTAAACTCGAAGACAGAAATTTCACGGGTTTATTTTTTCAGACGGATGCCACATTTGTATGCTAGTGACACCTACATTCGCATAAAGAGAATCAGCCAGAGAGCAACAGAAAGTGTAACCGAATCTTTCAGCTAGATGCCGTGGCATGCGCCGAGTCCGTGATTTTACGATGGGATAGATTCTCGTTACAACTAATCGCGTTATAACGAATTAATTCTTACAGCGAATTTGTTTATTCCCTTCCTATCCAATAGCAATAATGCTATTTTTATTCTTTCTAAACATATTTTTTTTCACATTGAAGGTGTTTTAGAGGTCACAGTAAATCCTTCGTTGTGAGCGAGATAACCTAAATTTATTACACAGTACACCGTGGCTGTCACTTAAAAGGAATTACGATCGATTTAAATTATTTCAGTGAAATCAATAACATGCTGTGAAATGCACCAGACGGTAATTGCAATGCTTAACATTAGGAAATATGATGCAATCTGCACTAACTGCCAGTGACATCTGTCCACATTTCAAGACAGCAGGATACGAAGGAACAAAGTATGTCGAATGGGTGAATACCATAGATGCTTAGCATGTACTGTACTCCATAGTCTTATTTTTTTAATTTTCAATGAATAATTACGCGGTCTTAAATAAAGTTTGATCAAAGTGTTTGAAAGTTAACTTAGCGCCCAGTGTACTTCGAATATAATAACAGCAAATAGCAATGTAGTCCGACAGATGCTGACCTTGCTGTAGAAGTAATCAAGAAAAAAACTCGGGCTTTGGAAAAGATGAACTTCTGATGTAGGACACGCTGCTTCACAAGAATTTCGAAATAACTTTTCAATTCGTTCTTTTTCAAACTCACGAAAGCAGGAGTGCCTCCTTGACCGTCGTCAGTTGACCCACCAGCTCCAGTATGAGTCGTCCAGCCGAGATGTTCATAATTCATTATGGCATAGGTCATGACCTCGTCCGTGGCGATAACTGCTTGAAATGTGTTCGTCTTATTGGAAAAGAAAATAATGACGCGATTAAGGAAAAATGTTGATTGTTTTTCTCCGTGAACACAATAAATAAGATGCGTACCACGTATTGAGCCCTGGGCTGCTGACCTCCGTTGAAAGTGACATTCTTCCAGGTCACAATGAAGGCGTGTTTCGGGTCAAAAATCTCAGCCCCGATCATTCCTTCGCGGATGTCCCAAAGCAGTCTTTCGTGCAGCTCGAATCCGAATCTATCTTTTCTTGTTCGCAAATCTCTCTCAACTCTGCCAAAATAAAAAGGAAAATTCTTTAAAAACTATTGAAAAAAGCGATAGTGAAAAATGTAAAAATTGCTTTCCGTTTTCTTCATCAGAGATTAAGGGAGTGTATTTCTTGGATTTTCTGCAATTCTTCAAGATCAGAAGACACTCACGAAGTCTTGACCTAGCTTACACAACTTAATTGCTGTACAGTATACACTGGTCTTTGATGCCATTTTATTTAGCATGGAGAGTACAAAATAAAAATGTCCCGAGGAACATCTGCCTGAAGAAGCTGCATTTGAAGTTGGCAACTAACACGAAAAGTTTGAAAAATTGACACGGATTCACCGTTTACTCGACTTTTAGATCGCGAACTATCTACAAAAGATGTCATATCTCATAATTTAAAATCGTTTGGACATTATTTAAGGCCCAAAGGCGTTTAGAGCGAGCAGAGGAGATTCAAAGGGCTACGCCGTAAGCCTCTTTTTTCCAGGTTACTTTCGACCCAGTAACAGAAGGCCGGTGCAAAGGCATGGGAAGTGAAGTGGGTACCCATGGATTGTCCGCAGATGATCACTGAAGCCAATGTAGCCATTCAGCGAAATCTGCGCAACAACAACAAAAACAAAAAATCTAGAAATATTCTTGACATTATTCAGAGTTTCTCCAAAAAAATGAAAGAAAACATGAGACTCTTCTACGAATAAAATCAGATGCGCATTGGGATTTTTATCGCTTGTGATTTTTTTAATGCATTAAAATAACTTTGAAAGCAACTCTCATCAGTTTCTGTACACAAAAAGTATACTTCCTTTCTAAAATTGTTGGAAATTATTTTGTTCTCCTCACAAATGTTGTTTTCTTGCGCCAAAAAAAAACCTGAGTATATTTCGAATATATCAGCTAATGGGTTTCCAAAATTTATATTTATTTGCTCAAATAATAGCTGCACAAGAGTTAATAAAAAGCACAAAAAAACAAACTTCAGGATGACCTCAACCTGAAAACTTTGAGTATGAACGTTGGGTCATTCGAAGTCAACTATACACAATTTCTGGAAGCTAATTTTTTGGAGTACACCTCATTCCAAGCCAAAAAAAGAACAACAAAAGCATTTCTGGCAGCGAGAAATTTAAATTTAAGATTAATAGATTACTCAATCAAACCTTGAAGAGTTTTCCTTAAAAATAACTTATTTCCACTACAACAAAAAATGTATTGAAAAATGTGCTTCGTTTTTTCCCCCTTTTATCTTAAATAGCTGTTCATGTACCCAGGTGTAGTTGAAAGCGAATCCGTAGAACGGAAGCAGGAAGTTGAGCTTCTTGTCCAACAGGGAAGTGCCCGAGTTGAGGTGCTCTTGGTAGTCGTTTTCGTCCCAGTACTCGTCAGCTTCCTCGTCGACGCCTCCGTCGTAGAACGGATACATGAGCGGCTCTCGGATCTGCTCCAATCTCTCCGCCGTCATGGTGTAAGATCCGGTTTCCGGGTCCACTTCCGTGTTCGGCGCAATCCTCGAAAACATGGGGTCTGTGATCATAATAATGACCAAGAATCGAAAAAAAGGGACTTGTACTCATCATCATCGTATACATATAAATAAAAATGAAAACCAAGTTTAATAAATTGTTTACATCGTAATTCCAATCATTATTCTTGATTAGAAAACTTCGCACAAATTATCCTGACACAATAGTTATATGGGTCACCTTATTTCAGTGATACGGTTCATACCTTTTTTGTATCTCGCTGAAATAAATCGGCATGTCAATCTAACTTATACTGTAGTATATACACGAACACGGATGTCTTATTGAAATAGAATCGTTATAACGAGTTTTAACGTGGAAATGGGGATTAGTCATGAAAAATTTGACTGCGAAGCCCGACGTAACGTTTTCCTTCGATGAGTCACAGTTCAAGATTATCCCAAGAACTTTCTAGAATGATTCGATTTCATCCCTTGTATAACTGTATTTTTCAAGTATCTTCGGGTTCCGGTATATCTCTGCTAAGAAATTGTAAATAAAATTTAAATCTTCGCATTTTTGCATGGGGTATTGATTCGTCACTTCCAAATTATCATTAAAAGTATTGTGCGCTCCTAAATCTCATGTTCAACATAAAAATCGAGTAATTTTTGAGCGATCAATGCTACTTATGAATATTTTATAATGTTCCTGATGCACCCTCACTTTTTTCATTATCGTAAATAAATTGGAATAAGTTCAACCAGCAACGACGTTGATTTATTTGACGAGTAATTTCTCTCAAGGTAAAAAAAAAGAGGAAGTGAAAGTCGAATATAAGGATTGAAACCAACATTTTTTTCTATAATATGGTCTAAGAAAATAATTATTTTGATCGTGATTTTTCAGTCTTTTTTGCGTTTTCCTGACGACGACAAAAGAGTGTTTCAGAAACTTGGAGAAACTTTATACGTGAACATTTTCTGTAGATTTAAACGTATAGGGAAGTTGTTTAATAAATGTATAGAAAGCATCCCAAAAATATATTTTTTGTGAGAATAAATGCATTTATAGTTCATGAGCCGCTTTTAGAATCATCAAGATTTGAATTATTGTATTGGAACTTGTTAATACCTGAAAGGTGTCTGGTACAACATGATTTTAAAGTTTTCATGTGGTCCGATTTGTGTGAACTGCTGCTAAAAATTTCCCATCCATGTTTAAAAACCGAAACTTCATGTTTAAAGTCCTCTTTACTCCGGTATATAGGCTCATCAGTCGTATTAATTTAAATAGTTTGATGAATCTTTCCTGAAAAATCTGGGTTTGACAATCCAATAATATTCGGAAACGACCTTGATGCATCGCAAGTTGCAACACTACGGTTGCAAGGAAACTTGGCCTAAAAATTTAGTTCATGACCCATCTTAATAAGGCCTAAGCAACAATCGGAAGATCAAACATCACCTTTTATCTCGCGGGACATGAAATACCGAGGGGAAAAAGCGCCATAGTTTCCAATGCGCATTTCGAAGCGAAAGATTTATCTGGGTTTTCCCTGGAATCTATGACCCAGGTCCCAAACATTTTCCCCTGGCAGTTTTCTTTTATTTTTTGTTCTTTCTCCACCTATCGTCGTGTCTATTTATTTCATAGTTTGACTCTGACACCGAAGCACTTCACACGACGGATACCGAAGCTGTAAGAGTAATTCTTCATCCAAAGATAAGCTGTACTATATAAAAGTTCTGACATGAAATCTCTAATTTCCGAGAATGTTCCCGGCTACTATATTTTAGAACTGTTTTAAAGATAAATGAAACGAAAGAACACTCAATGCTAATTCTTCAATCGGAAAAATATGCGTATTCTCTTTTTTTAAATCCAATAATTATTTTTTTGCGACAGCATACGAGTGGTTTTGAGAGAACATCGAAAGGAAACATTTTAAAATCAAGGAGTCAATTGATGTTTCAATTTAGAAACTATTCTATTCCCATAGAAATTTGTCTATGGATTATTTTTATTACTCTATAGCGGGGGCAGAATGTCATGCAGATTATTTTTTTGTTGTTGAATGAAGGACAAGATCGAGTATTTTATTTGCCAGCTAATTTTTTTATGGCAAAATTCCAGGCGGAAACAAATTTTACATTTTCAGAATGATCAGTCGTCTTCATTGAGTGTTTGCTAAATTGCAACAAAACCTTTATAATTGATATAAAGTTAGGTGAATTACATGGACTGCCAAATCAATTCTGCGATTTGGGGATTCACATATTTTTTTATCGGCACCTTGTTCATTGAAATCACTCCTTTTTAACGAATTGGAATCGTATTTTTGAGGCGGGGTTCATTGATCAAATTTTTTGAGAGAATTCGTGTACATTATTTGATAATCCAGGTTATGGCTGGTAACGCTTCTTCAACATTCCTTCTCATATCATCGTTTAAATAAGATCAGAAAAATTGAGGTCAAGGTTCTCACCGTAATTATCTGGGTACTTGTACTGAGCATGCTGTCGATTTCTTTCTGCCAAACTCTGACTCTGGGCGTCCTGCGCTTCGGTCGCCGCTGAAACCAGCAACAAAACGCCGCAAACGGCTCCGAAATTGTACGAAATTTTCCTCCACATCTCCCAGTCCCCAGAAACCACTTTTCAAAATAAATTGTTCCCAAATCCCTCGCGAAAAAAAAACACGAGGAGAACACCACCAATCACTTATTCCTGGGTTCGAAACTGCGCCTGAATGGTGATATGGAAGAAAGAAAAATGTTTCCGAGTCCCAGTTCTTATCTTTTGGAAAGATAAGAATGCACACAGACAAGGATGGAAATCCAACAGCAAAAACCCCCGAGTTTTAGAGGTTGAAACAGAACAAACTAATCACGTTATAGACTTAGCAAGAGAACTGATATAGTTGACTTGTGACATGGCCCATATAAGGACTGAGTACGGGGCACTTGACTTATATGAGTAACTCGTTATCAAAAAAAGAACTAAAGAAGCTATGTTCTTTCTAAACTTGGGTTCCAGATGTCTCACAGTCTTGATTTACTCTTGTCATGACATAGATGTCGCTTCAACTTCCTCACATATGAATAGCCTCAAGTTTTGCTCAAACCTTTTATCTCAACTTTCAACAATGAAGTTGGGATATTTTGTGGAATGTGGGATCCCTCAGCACTGAAAAGAAATATAACCTAGTTTTTTTTTAGCCAAACATAATGTATTTCATCAAATGAAACTGTTCATCACAAAAACATTGTGATGCATGAATAAATCCCGAAATTCAAAGATTGTGTCTCATTTTCGTTTCTTATTTTTCAACAAAAGAAAAGGAAGAAACGATCGGTTGTATTCATGGTACGGTATAGTGTAGTACTTATGCTCATAACTGTAATTTAGGCGACACCTACTTTACTTTACAGAATTATTTTTCTGTCATCACTTGCACTCGAGGTTATGAACGACATCAGGGACTAGGAGAAATTCGTATCCCACTCAGAGCAAATAAAGAAGCTCGATGAAGGTCGGATTTCCTTTAAATTTCTGCTTCAAAATTCTATTTTCCGGTTCCCTTCCGCCCTATTAAATGAAGGAGAGAGGGTTCCTCTCGAACTTAAGCTTAAGAAACGGAAAGTAATTAGCTTTTTTCGCTCATTTCGAAGGGTTTTTTTTTACTCCCTATGTTCTGCTGCTTCGTTCTTGCGAAATTCTCTAGCTGCTCGAATTCCCACTGCATTTTCTTTGGGAATGAAAGTCCGATAAGAAATGTCGCTCTTTGAGGCTGTGTGTGGACTTGAATCTCAGCAAATGTCCTCTTCCAGTGGAGCAATCGATGACACTCTTGCTTCTCAACTTGAGCAGGTGGTTTTTCTTGTTTTATATATATTTTTTTTACTTTCATTTGAATATCCTGGGGTTACTTACTGGATTATTCATGTCACGTGTGTAAAATGTCTTGCGACTTGATATTCAACCTCTTCTGGTTATTTTTATATTTTGCTTGTAATTAAAGTCTTGCTGAGAATTTTAAATGGTTGCAGAAAGTACATTTGCAATGAAATATAGTATCCAAAGTCATTAATTAGTTTAATTTATGGGCTATATTTCGAGATTTATTTTTCTTTCACCTCTTAATTTATTGATTAATCATCCTCAAACCTTTTTTTGGACCAGCACCTCCTAAGGAATGTTCTCGAATTTTTTTTCATGGTATGTTTTACATTAAATTTTTGTATATTTCTATCTTTTTATTTCTTGACAATTTTTGAGTCCTTCAAAGTTAACGAGTTCTATTAAAACCTGGACGGAACCTTGGTGGACTAAGTCGTCTAGTAACCGTTTAGATGCGACTTCCCAAACTACTTGTAGCCACCAGTTTGGGAGTTTAGGTGGGTATTTTCAACGACGCATTTTCCCCGACCTCAGGTTATAATCACGTAAAAATAACCCTTTGGTTCTTTCCACCCGCAAAATCTTCGAAATTTATCTAAACAGCATTTTAAAATTAAATTTTAAAAGTCGTGTCAATTGTGAGTCTTACATATAGCTCAACTTAAATCCGAACTCAAGGTTTAGCTTTGAAATGTCTATGTATCCTAGTCTAATATTCAATTTAATGTCTAGTCGAGAATATAACCTGAAATATTTCCGACGGCATCCATAAAATGTGTTCTGACGCCTAATAAATTAAGCATTTCTGAATTTACCGAGGGAACACCTCAGACTAAAAGGGCTTTCTTTTCATGTAAATAAATGTTAGCGTTAAAAAATCGATGCACAGAACAGTAAATAATTGAAAGCATGTTGCAAATTTAGATGCAGACATATTTGTTTTCACATGCTGAAAAAGCCTGGTTTTTTTAAGGAGATTCAAGCGATCAAACATGGTTTCCAGTGCATGCGTATGCTTATGAAGCAAATCAAACTGGAGATGGACACACTGAACATACTTGGAGGCAGATACAAATGGAGGGGAACCATGGAGACTTAGGGGAACATGCAGCGACATCTAGTGCTAGGGGAAATGCTGGATATGCGATGAACTACCATATCCAGGATTTAGTCAGCCAAGACAGGATCAAGGCTGTAAGTCAGTAAGATATACAGATGGTACCTTGCAATTCAACAGTGATCCGTTGCTGGACTATAGGGTTGAATTTTGAAGCAGTCAAATTGCAAGACAATGTCAAATGTCATGTTTTCTGCATGACATTGGACATTTCATGACTCTGCACAGGTTGAATTGCACAGCAGACCAACTTAACCCTCAACAACTGGAGGGTCTTTTAAACTGAAAGTTTAACACCCTACCAACTTGAAACCCTCCAACTTAACTTTCTATGGTGGAGATACGAATACAGACTTTTTTTATACACTTATCGGTAAACTCCATCATTCTAAGATTATAACCTTGTTTAACTTCAGATCAAAGACTGAACAAAATTGGCAGATGTCCACCTAAAAACCATTTTGTGGGTTGCATTGTAAAATTGGCTGTCTTTGACTTAATTTTTTTTTCAATAAGCCTGAATAAAGGACAGTTTTGCATTCATTTTTTCCCTCTTAGGAATACATCAACCAATTCATTTGATTGCTAAATGAAGCTGCTTCCAGGCTTGAGTTTAATTTGAGTTACAAAATTTTCCAACATTTTCATGCACAATATTTATTATTTTCTCATTCCCCTTTTGATGCAGCAATCACTTGAGCATCAACAGCAGCAGCAGCAAAACCACTTGAATCTCTCATCAGCAGACCCTGGATTACCCCACAACCAACAATCCCGTCCTTTGTTGTACAACTTTGACAGCACCGGGTTGCTTTTGGCCTGCGTGTGACGCCTTAGGGCTGGACGTTGGGGCAAAGGCTGTGGGTTATTGGCTCAGTTGCCTAAGAGGAAACACGTTGGGTGCAGCAAAGGCCTCGTCGTCGGTCGTAAACTTGGGAGCGGGCACAGACGGTTTGTCCGAGCACCTCCGCCAGTGTATCACGTCCGGCCCATGGTCCAGGTGGCGAAACCCGTGCCCAGGGCTGTGATCATGAACCAAGCTGGGATCCTGGGACCATATCCGGTATATTTGCATTTATTTCTTTCATATCTTTTTGTTTTTGTCCTCTGCCAGCATCTAAAAAATTTGAAATCAATGCATTTGGTTGTGATTTGGTCATATACTGTATTTACTTGAGTACCATGCACCCTTGAGTAAGGCGCGCACAGGGGTTTTTCAGTTGAAAATTTTGCAAAAATCTTATCCTGAGTAAGACGCGCACCCCAATATTTAGTGAATCTAAACCATACAATTTCAAAAATAAAATCAAAATTTTGACTTTAGGCATGAATTGAACGAAAATCTAATCAATTTTCAACTTTTTCAGTGCAAAAATGCTTTCTTTTCATATTTGTTCCAAATTTCTCCATTATAATTAAGTATAATGCACACATAACTTCCTAAAACTTCTTGAAAATTTGGTACCCACTTATGACGCACACCCCTTTTTTCTTCTGAAATTTGGGAAAAAAGTGCGCGTGGTACTTGAGTAAATACAGTACTTGTAGGTGGACTTTCTCTACATCAAAATTCAAGGGACCAGAAAAGAATTTGTTATAGAAAGAATTTTGTTGTAGAGAACTCATATAACGTGAGGCAAGTACTCACAAAAAAAGCTTGTAAAATTTCTTGAAACAGATTGTGAAACTGTGGAGTTCATTTAATTCATTGTTGTTTGGGAACTCAATAAACAAAATTCTTTAAGGAGCTTCTACAAAGAAATTTCAACCCATTCCTTGCCTGACAGTCATATTTTGTGGCAGTTCAAAAATATTTTTGCGACACTCCAAAATCAAACCTATATCCAGAAAGACTCTAAAAAAATGGTCTGAAATAGCTTCCACATTTTTAGAGTTTTGTATGGCTTATTGAAATAATTTCGTCAATCTATTTTTACAATTTATTTTAATTTATTAAAACTCACTGATAAATTGATAAGTTTTCTCTACGAAGCAACCAGACAATCTCATTGTAAAAATAATTTTTATGCAATAGAAACCCCTATTTAATTTGTTTTATAGAGAAAATTGTAAGGAGAGTCTACCTGCAACAATGAAATACTTAGGTTCAACTCTTCAATCTCAGTCTCTCTCAACAATATTTACCTTCTCTGAATGAGTGCTTTCAAAAGGTTTCGGAAATCTTGGAACTGTATTTTTGTAGAAATGGAGGCTTAATATATCTCATGAACAGGATCATATTACATCAGAAAATATTACATTAAATTCAAATCCCCAGGGCCACCAGCACAGCAACCAGTCGTCCAGGTCTTGCAGCCCCATGTTGCCCATGTACAGCCCGGGTCACGGCTTGGACCAGCCTTACACCTCGACCTATTCCGGGGCCACTGCTGCCAATCATGGCAACAATAAAATCACCGATTCAGAAAACCGGTTAGCTCGGGACCAACTCATGATGTCGCGCCGGGTAGCGTCAATGTCAGTCCAGTGCGGGTTGAAACAGTAGCTTGGCGGCCTGCTAGTGAAACGGAGGTAAGGAAACCACTTAAATTGAAATATTCATCTTGCGACAAACAAAAAAAAAGAAAAATATTCCGACAATGCTTCTGTTGAAAATTGTTGCTATTTTTTGAAAACATTCGTACATGCACACTTAACTGAAGAAGAATGCTCAGGTCGTCGTCAGCATTTATTGATGAGCATGTGATTTTAGTGGGAAATTTTAAACTGGCAGCAATTTGTTGAAAGCTTGACAAAAATAAACAGAGAAGTGATGAGACGTTTGCAAATAATTTACTGCAGACCCAAAGACATTAACTTCATCAGGCTGAAAAACATCCTGCAATTCTCCGGGCAGAAAACGCCAGTCGTTCCGCAAAATTGTCCCAAGAAATTATTTCCTACACGTAACCCTCTTTTTTTTTCATTGCAAAAAACATTCAAATACTGAACTTTTTTTTCAGATTGAAACTGGTGCATTGAAGCTGTCACTTCCGAATCTCCGAATGCCTCCGCCAAAGCCACAGATTCCATCAAAAGCTTATCGCATTTGGATGGATGGGATCAAATGGAAAACTACTGAACTTGACTTTTGGATATATTTCATGGTACATTATACAAAATATAACATGGGAAAATGTAGAATTTTGACACTGATGTCTGAGCTCACAAATTTCAGTGGCCAGTATAAACTGCAAAAAATTGCAGAAGAGCTGAAATGTGCTTGTATTAAAGTGATACACGGAATCATTCTGACCTCTATATCCAAATTTTGCATACCTAATTTTTAAAAAATTATTCCAAACTATTAGCTTTTTTCAAAGGTTCGGGGAGTTGTAAGTAAAAAAACCCCGCCGAGGAAAATTGCCGAAAGCTCAAAATCGCTCATTGCTTCTGCCGCGTTCTGAAAATTTTCTGATGATCATTTTTACTTAAAAAAAACAAGCTTTTCCATTTTTTTTTCGTTTGAAATAAGACCAATCAATGATAAAAGATTTCAAGCTATCCGTGGAAGGAATGAATTAAATGTCAAAATTCGAAAACGTCTCCAGCCGTCGACAATTTCTTTCGTAATAGTTTTTTTCGCATTCAATTTTCGTATTTTATTTTTTTTTAATCTGCAAAATTATGTTTTTTTTGTATGAAATGTAGGCACACTATGGATCAGTTCTGTCTGTGAAAATCCTCAAGAGAAACAGGAGAAAGGACCATCGTAACGGAGGCGGCGATGGGTTGAAGGAGAACATTGACCCATTGGATGTTTCGGAAATGAAATGTAGGCACACTATGGATCAGTTCTGTCTGTGAAAATCCTCAAGAGAAACAGGAGAAAGGACCATCGCAACGGAGGCGGCGATGGTTTGAAGGAGAACATTGACCCATTGGATGTTTCGGACGAGGCCTTTGAGAAACTGGACTTCGGTCGGTTCAATTCTTGAAAAATTGAATGTTATAATTATAAATCACACTTTCCGATGGTCTTTTATTTTTTTTACAGGATTCGTGGAAGTCGCTGAAGAAAGCATCGCGAAGAGAATCATTCGTGACCTCGGTGGCTTGGGTTACCGGGTTCGGCACGCGACAGAATTGCCAATTGATCCCAAAGCGGTGCATCTGAAGAATTTGCCCATGTCCATGGATTCCAAAGGATTGGCGGATTTCATTCGGTCTCAGGGGTTGGAAGGGATCGATACTGTCAAAGTACTGCGACAACCCGCGAATCGCTTGAGCGCTTCTGCCTTCATTAGGTTTTTGCTTTGATTATCATGAATAACATTTTCCACAAAAAATCCCAAGTATTTTTAAATTGCGACAAAAGATTAAGAGCTTTTGACACAATTGGGTCCGGGTGTGAAAAAGCATTCCACACACAGCTGTTTAATACCTGCATTATAATTAATTTTTGAAATCACTTCGAAATCTTAAAAGGGTATTTTATAAAATTCGCTGAAATTCGAGAAAACGAATCAAGAGGAACCTTCTTTAAAATATACATAAGTTGAAGCTATGCTTTTATACGCTTATCATTGCAATTTTTTTACAAACCTTTTTGACATCTGAGTCAGCATATTCTTGGTAAATTTCTTGTACAAGGGCAGACAAGTAACTTTTGCAGAAAGATACATGTAATGCCAGGCAATTTAAATGTTTTTGCGATTATTTTTCTGCTGCATACGTTTCAGGGCTTCTTCTGAGCTTTCTGCGTACAAATTGATCAGAGGAATGCATGGAAAGGCATGTCCTGGTTCTCAATATACAATTGAAGCGAGATTTGCTTATCATAACAACAAGAAGGCAACAGTCAATGAGTATCAGAAATATGGACCTGCAACACTGTCCAAATATGTTCTAACTACAAGTAAGTCTACATTTTGGAAGTGGTGAAAGAGATGTATTTACAAGTTCTGTACTGAGAATGAAATTTTGTAGGGTGTTGGCCTTCCCCCCCCCCCGACTTTTTCCCAGAAAATTGAGGCGCGAGTTGTGAATAACATGAATTTACATGAATTGTACTTGCAGTGCTTGATGCTGATCAGCATGTACAGAAAATGTGAAATTCTTAGTAACATTAGTAACAGACATTAGTAACAAGTACCGTATTTACTCAAGTACCAAGCGCCCTCAAGTAAGGCGCGCACAGGGGTTTTTCAGCTGGAAATTTTGCTAAAATCATATCCCCAAGTAATACGCGCACCCCAATTTTTAGTGAATCCAAAGCCACAAAATTTAGAAAATAGAAAAAAAATTTGACTTTAGACATGAATTGAACAAAAATCTGATCAATTTTCATTTTTTTCAGTAAAAAAAATTTCTTGGTACATTTGTTCCTAATTTCTTTGTTATAATCAAGTGTAATTCACACCTAACTTCCTCAAACTTCTTGAAAAATTTGTACCTGCTTATGATGCGCACCCCTTTTTTTCTTCTGAAATTTGAGAAAAAATGTGCGCGTGGTACTTGAGTAAATACGGTAGTTCACAGAATGCCAATAGAGGTCACACCTATTGGTCCTGCATACCTTTGATTACATCTGTGTGTGACATGCAGAAACATTTTACCTCCTTCATTTTTTTGCTGAGAATTTTTTCAATTTTTAGAGATGAAGCTTTCCTTGGATTTGCCTGGGTTGCAAAGTTTTCCTTCCTAAATTTCGTCTTACAGAAATTTAAAATGCAGATAACCCATATATTCAACCCAACTCACGCAAAAGAGAAGTTGCATGCCTTGTGTATTATACAGTAGTTTTACTTTCGTAGATCAGGTACTGGCTTTATCAGTTTTAGAATTGGATAAAATGGACAGATTTGTGCAGCTTAATAGCAGAAAAAGATTCTCCAGCCTAATTACCAAAAGTATTCATTATTTACTCAATGAATACTCATCAAGTAATCCTTATTTACCTTGACAGCATGAAGTTCACTGATCCCCTGAGAATAAAAAAAAGTACAGTAAAGTCAGTACCTTGCAATTTAACCATCCCGCAATTCAATGGTCAAATTTGCAGGGAGGTTGACTTCCAATTTGACCCTTATTGTCCCGCAATTCTACCAACTTTGGCCCTTTTTTTCTTGCATTTTTGCATGGATATTTTTTATTTTCATCAAGTGTCTCACAATTTGACCACTTTGCAATTCAACCCTACTGTGGCAACTGATTAAAGGTCATGTTGCGAGGTACCACCTGTAACTTGCATTTTTACCTTGGCTTTCTGCTGGAACAGCAGTTTAAAATTTAGCACTAATAAAATATACCACAAACGCCTGAGAGAATTTGACTTGCGTATAAAGGATGTTAGAGATACCCCCCTCCCCCCCCCCCCCCCAAAAAAAGATTGGTTAAGGGGGTTTAAAATGCATTTATTCTGGGCTTGCGATAGTTGGACATTTGATGGCTTCATTGGAAATTTCGGATCAGGCGAATTTTTGACTTGACAAGGTTTGAGAGGTCCAACTGTTTACTTTGCGACACTATTATTATGCTATTGAGAGTGAGAGAGAGAGGGAGAGGATTTTTAAAAAAAGAAACAAATGAGAGAACAATAAAGAAATGAATAACGCAAGTGGTGTCCCCGCAGCAGACATGGGCGCCCTCTCGCCGCTCATCGGCAACAACTTCACCTGGGTCACCATGCCCTGCGGCTACGACACGGCCTACTCCCAGGCGCAGCTCAAGTGCGTCGTGTGGGTGCCCAACTCCGTCGTGCCCGGCAGCGAGCACCCTTTCCTGCCCATCCTCATCTTTAGCGACCGACTGCCGCTCTTGGGCGTGCCCAGTCCCCGCCACGGCGCCTTTGCTGGCCTGCCGTTCGAGTCGTCCCCCGGCGACGTTTTTCACGCGCCCGTGCTCGAGTTCAACGTGTCCAAGATGACCATCCCGCTGGTGGCGTACCCGACGTTTGAGAAGCTGGTGGCGGAAGTGCCGGAGCCGGACTCCGACGATGACGACACGGAATGCTCCTTGACGATGCCGATCACTGCGCCATCGGCAGCAGCACCAGCACCAGCTCAACCTGGCCCACTTTAGGACATGTATATGTGCACATTATATTGTGGGCACATTTGAGCGGGTGGCAAAACATTTGGGCGCACATTTGGGGAAGGGCCAGAAACAGCGCGTGTGCATGAAAAGATTCAAGCGAACCCAGTGAGTGAGTGACTGATGATGTGTTACTGTCTAAATTTTTTTGCCGAAGGTTAACCTTTCAGCAGAATTATTAGCCAAGTACAGCAGTACCAAATGCCCTGTATGCTGGAGTAAGATTCTCACATGATTCGCTCATCTTGAAATTTGGACGAAAATCTTTTCCCAAGTATAAATGCGCCACCCATTTTTCATGAGAGATAATTTGACATTTTTTAAAAGTGAAACACGTCAGAAATCACATTTTGACTCGACTTGGACTCGAATCTTTAAAATTTCATTATTCCCTCTCCTGATTAAAAAATGTGAACCCACTGTTCTAAAAAAATATATATACAGAAATATTCTTGGGCTTTCAAATTGATCATTAATTTCCATTCTTGTTTCCCAGGAAATTGTTGCTAAGGTCATTTTAAAAGCAATGTCGTATGGGAAATGCTGTATCATGCAAATTTTTATTTTTTCGAATTCTTTCTCTAGCTTGAAATACTGCTTCGTGCTCCGAAAAATGTTTCCCACTAATAATTACTTTTTTTTTTTAGCTCAAGCAGTTTTGTGCATGCGCTGTTCTGGGATGCGCTCAAATGTTCGGAGTGCTTCTTGTCCATCAGCAACAAGACTTTTTCGTCGCATCATTTTTTGTTCGTTCTTTTTTCTCTCTCTCTCTCTGCTCATATTACATCCTGTCTTCAACTTTGAAAAAGTTACGCAACAAACTTAGCGCGATTAGCTCAAATGTATTCTATCCTGCATAATTAATCCCATCGATGCACTTCTCATCCGGCAAACTATTTTAGCCCCGCAATCGATCGTCGAATCGTCCTCACCCTAAATTTCTGCGAAGGTCCAATAATCCAACTGCTGTAGCAGAAAAGGGTATTTTTACTTCCCGAAGCATTAATGCATTTTTTTGTTTAAAATTTCGGGACAAAATTGGAGAGAATATGATCGCATTTCCGGTTCGTGATTCAAGTACAGTATCCTCAAGATCGCTCATTGCCGAATCAACCATCGCCGAAAATCAAAATTTTGATCAATTTTACCATGATTAATAAATTTATTTTGAATTCTGGTTCTCTTCAATAATGCTCTTGTTGAAAAACAAGAAAGATGGATCAAATGAAATTCTTTTACCTCCTCAAATATAAACACATTTTCAGCACCTTACTTTATTTTAGAGTAAAGAATTTAACATGCACAATTAAGTACAGTATTTTTGAGAAATGGTGTGTTAATGCAAGACAAGGGTGGACTGGAAAAATTTGATCCACATACGAAGCAGATGAAAATTTGCAGAAATTGGGCAATGTTCAACTTTAAAAGGTTTAGTACTCACTTTATCTGAATTCATCTTCAGGTAAAATATATATACAGTATACTGTATAAATATATATAATGGTGTTGGACATTCTCTCAGGATTTAATTTAAATCTCCCTACTCTTTCTCTCTTGTTATGCAAAGAATTAAAACAGGAAAAACAAAAACCCAGGCGTAAGTTTGACGCATGTTGTTCGATATAACGGAAGTAAAACCTCTGTGAAAATGTCGCCGGAAGAAGGAAACCCGGGGGAGGAAAACGCGCGATGCGGAAGTGATTCTCGTCGTCGTTCCGGAAACGAGATCATCGGGTGGGGATGTGTCGAGTTTATTTCGACTTAAGTGAGCGTGAACGAGTGCTTGTTATCCGTGTGTCGTCACTCTCGTCAGCGACACTGTCGTAATTTTCTTTCTCTCTCTTGCTCGTCGTGCCCTCGGGCCAGTCTTTTCCGCTCCACAAAAACCCCGCGAATGTGTGCGGAAAATTTGAATACTCTTGAACTTCTCTCTTCCTCCATAAATCCCTCGTTTGCCCACATTTTGTGCTAAATACCAAACCTGCTTTTTGAGGATTTTCTCCCAGGATTTCGCAGACCTGAAAAACTTGTTGTGTGCATGCATGCATTTGAATTCGACGAGCTTATTATGATCCAAGTTCTCCGCAAAGCTTGATTGTAAATGCGTAACATTCACTTTAAAAATAGAAAAAGGATGACAATACACATGTTCCGCAATATTTAATTTTTCAAGGGTACGTATTCGAAATTGGCGTTCGGTCAAGAAAAAATTAATTCAGACTTCCACGTTTCAAATCGTTGCTGACGAGCAAATACCGTAATTAACTCTATTTCTCTTTCTTCTCGACTTCTGGATGATGCAATGAGAATTGCAGAAAAGCAATTTGTCGGAAATTTTGGGGTTACTTATTTTTCTTGTGGCGAAATTGCCATTTTGCTGACTAAATCATGTTCAAGTTGAGCTAGCTTTTGTGATACTTTCAGAAAAAACTTCCATTTCCGTAAATGATACAATTATTCAAATTAGTAATATGGGAATGTTCATTTTAATATTTTGAAAATAGAGTACCTTTCCAAACAGCCTAAAACGCATTGAAAAAATGTCACAAACTAAAAAAAATTGTACCATATTGAGCAGAATTTTACTTCTTGGCTCACATTGCTTTTGTCAATTTGTATTTAAAATGTTTTGTAATTCTTTGCAGCTTTAGAAGATGAGCGTGTTGAGATGACGTGCATCTCATTTGTCAGGGATGAAAAGCCGCACATCAAACAGTTTTGACGTATATAATACGTGCCTTGCCTTTGTTTCTTTCATCACGCAAACAGTTTTCGCATAAATAAGCCTTTCGCGCGTTTTGTGCCAAAATGCTGTGCCGAAGTCCCAGGCTTCGGCCCTCGTCAGAGCAGCAGCAAAATGCAAACGACACGGAAACAAAACCTGCGGCGTTTTCAGGGCAAATCTCATGACGTACGCTCGAATAAACCGGATGAAACCCCCCGGGGGAAGCTTCAGCCTTTTTACCCCCCCTCATCCCGTGTGTATATGTCCTCGGAATGGCACGGAACCTGGGTTCGGGGATACACAGGAGAAAAGTTACCTTCCGCCTAGACCCCCTTTTTTGGGCTCCCCCGACGACATGAGGCGTTTTCTAAAGTTCTTTGGCTGCTGCTGAAGGGAACAAAAGTAGGTTGTGAAATCAATGTCGATTGCGTTTTACATTGATGCCTCGCGTAATAACCCGATTGAAAAAAAATTAATTCGTTAAAACGATTTTTTTCCGAAGACTAAACAATCCAGCAATCATTTCATCAGGAGTTTATAAAACTCTTGAGCATTTTTTCGACTGTAAATGGGAGTGTTCCTCTTATCTCTCGTTTTTGGCTCCATCATCAGAAAAATTGTAAAATCGTTCCAATTTTTTGGCACTGTTGTTGAGGATTCGACAACATTGAAATTGAAACCGTAGATGCAACCCAGCAATCACTCTGCGAGACTACATTTTTTCGACGTTTAAAAAGGTTATTCAAATGCATCAAGTTTCCACACTGACAAGGTGTCAGCTCTCTGCAAAATTCGCAGTAATTCTGTATAATGTGATCTTAGGCAAAACCAGAATTAACAGCAGTTGAATTTAGAATGATAGTCTATATTTTTTCAAGGATTTCTATGGATTAGTTTTAGAGTGTTAACAACTTCACAGTATTTTGGGGAAAGTGGTTTTACTTATTTTTATTGGTCTGTGGACGTTGGTCAAATACTAAGGATATGCGTGCGTTGTAATTTCAAGATTTGTGTCAACTAGAAATTGCCTGGCTTGAGGCTCTTGAACCGAGTGCATGCAGTATTATTATTATTTTTTGGATGCTGGAAATGGGAAGTTTGCAACATCTTGATTAATAAGATGAGTCCCTGTCCCCAATGGGAGTGTAATATACAGTACGTAGAAATATGTTGGTTTGAATAACTCGGTAGCCTTTTTTTTTTTTTAGAAAAATTGTTTGAAGACCAATCTATAACTTATTGATGGAAAAATGACATGTGTATAAAGTATACAGTAATAGTTTGATGCATGCTTTCAGTTCTCATGTTACGTTTCCCACTCATTCAAGGAAATAATTTCCTTCTTGAAAATAAATGAGATGCACATTTCTGAATTGAAAACTACGGCTTTTAAAATTTTAGCAAATTTTCATCATACAACCTCGAATAAATTGAATTGGCGATGATGCATGCTTCAAGCGCAGTTAATTTTTAAAATTTATTTGGGTCCTTTTGAAAAAAAAAAACATTCAGTTTTTATTTTTAGACGCAAATTTCGGTGGAAAACCTGGGAATGGAAAAACAGTTGGACAAATCCTTCGAAAATAAAATGCGTGAACTCTACGAACAATAACGCGTTTTCAGGTTTCATGTTTCAGGTTTGAAAGGAAAAAAAAAGTCTGCGTTTTTCTTTAAAAGTTTCCGACATTTTTGAAATGCCCCTCGCATGCTATCTCTCTGGTGCAAAAGCGACGCTGACGCGAATGAAGCCTTCAAATCTTGTTAAATCATCCTTCCGAGTTCCGGGGGTTCGAGGTACCTTCGGGATCATGTTCTTTCCTGCCTGATTTTACACCCTGAGTCGCGGGTTCTGCTGCTGCTGCGCTCGGGGAGATAAGGGAATGGACATGACATGTTCCTGGGTTGGGGTGCAGATTTGAATGAAAACTGAGACTCGAACTTAAAATCGGGAATGCAGAAATATTAAAGTCGCTCGGACTTCAGCTTGTCGAATGTTTGCATCATCTCGAACGATGTTCTCAGTATTCGGAGTGATTATACGATCTACGTTATAATAGCTTGAATTGCATTAAATTAAATTATATTATAAAAAACCCCTGCTTCCTTCTCTTTATTGCCGCTTAAATTTCTTGAAATGTAATCTACAAAACCTTTGTATATAAGCCACAAAAAAAAATAATACGGGAAAGAAATGCACATTTTAAACTCAACATGTGCAACTTCGGGCAGCTGGAAAACATAGCTATTTCAGGAACCACAATTTTTCACGAGGCGATAGAGCAAGGAACTTAAAAATGTCGGCATGATGGGACAGCGCGTTTTAAATTTGAAGTACTGTATTCGATGAAAATGTAAACTGTTTAAAATTTATACCGCACTTGAAAATAGCCATCCCTCCTATGCTTTTCTTCAATAAAAGTCCCAAATGATTTGAGAAAAATATGAAACTGTTCGGGACAATAAGCATGTTTCTTTGACTTCCAATTATAGAAGATGCAGTGTTTATTCGGTTATAATAATAATAAGGAGAGTTTTTCAACGCATAAATTCCATCAAAAGGATCGAAGTCTCGTTTTCTGCTTCCGAATGAAAGCATGATGAGTACAGATACTTTGTTAAGATGAATAACTTCCTGAAAATTCAGTTCGGAAATCTTTGAATAGTAATCGACACATATTCTTTACGTATAAAAAAATACTGTATATAGAAAGAGCGCAGAACTTGCTTTTTCCAGACATTTTTAAAACGTGTTCTCCAGTCTTTTATCTAAAAAAAAAGGGCGTCAAAAGCACCTTCAGTTAAATATATCGATGGAATTCAGTTTAAAATGTTCATTAAATGTTACACGAGGATGATTACAATTGTCCACGCGGCTTGCGAGACGTGGTGAAAAAGCAAATGGAACTTGTTTTAACCAAGTTCATACAGAGTGTCCCAAAATTTCTCGAGTAAGTTAAAAGACAATCAGATTC